GCTTTTGTGAAGCTTGCCTTATCTCAGGTGGGGATGGGAGGCAGCGCGTGGCGTTGGACCCCGCAGCCCTGGGTGGCGGCGGGAGGCAGGGCCAGGGCTCGCTGCCTGCTGCCTGCCTCCTCTTTGTGTGCGGGTGTTTCCTGGGAAAGGGTGGGCTGGCGCGGTTGTGAGTGCCGCCGGCAGGCCTTGGCGGGGGGATGAGCCGGGGGGTCAGCACGGTCACCTGGGATGCAGAGGTGCCCAGCGGTGGCCGAGCCCGTTGCTCCTCTGCCCTGGCGCAGCTCTGCTGCCCGTGCCGGCTCCGCAGATGCATCTGGACACGGTCAAATTAATCTGCAACGCTAACAGAAGAGGGCAGGAGCTAAAGCCTGCGCGTAGCCACTGCTGAGATAATAGAGACCTCATTACGCCCTGCCACAGCTCGCCCTGCCTGCCGCCTCTTGCTTTTCAGAGGAGAGCAGGCTTTGAGTCTTCTCGGTTGGTTTGTGCTCCTCTGCCATCTTCCAGAAAGCGCCTGCAGAGGGAACGGGGCTGGTTTGAACCAGAGGGATGTAATCTGCTCGATAATGAATTTATTAGCGGTGTGCTTGTTGCAAAACCCACAGAGCTGCGATGCTCCGGGGCTCTGGACCACCTTCCCATCCACTGCTCCGCTTTGCCAGGGACGGTATCGCAGCTCGGCTCTGCCTCCTCTTGGGATTTCCTCTTGGGATTTCGGCCCTTGTGGAGGGGCACGTTTAACCCTGCGAGGCCCTGAAAGATGCTGGAGGAGCTCTGGCTGATCTGCCCTCCCCATCCTGCTCCCCACGCTCAGCAGCACCGGAGGCACCAGGGAGGCAGTGGCTCCCAGAACCATCCCTGCTGCTGGCACGCTGCCCGCCGTGCTGCCCGCCGTGCTGCCCGCCGCTTGGCCTCCAGTGGGCTGGAGAAATAAAAAACCCTGAGAAAGAAGGGTTATCTTCACCTATCCTGTGGGGGGGGCGAAAGCCCGGCGACCCGGGGTCCCTGGTGCTGCCTGAAACTGCCTGAGGCAGCAGCGGGTGTCGAGGGAGGTTGATCAACCCCCTCCTGCTCTTCTGCTCCGGATGTGCCAGTGGCAGAGCACCCGCTCCCCATGCCAGTGACGCAGGCAGCGATGAGCACTGCCGTGTGGTACCTATACACATAAAGTGGGCAACACTAGTGACCCACCAAGGCTGCAGGGCAGCGGAGCTGCTTGCTGGCTGGTTGTGTTAATCAACTTGGGCTCGTCGCCTGCTGTAAGCTGTTTTTAGAGCTAGTCTCACCTAAGGCACTTAGACTTGCAGCGCTTTGCTGTGGCTCCGTTTCTTCTCTCCCCTTAAGGAGGCTTGGGGCAGCCTTTGCTGCCTGAGGTTGCAACGTCAGGTGCACCCAGCGGATGCAGAGACGGATGGATGGCTGTTTTGGCAGCTGAGAAGCACCGGGAGGATGGCATGCCCGGTGTGCTTGCGTGGCATTGGGAGTGCATGCTCCTCGCCTGTTGCTGGCAAGCAAGCCCAGGCTTTTGAAGGCTGTGAATTGTTTGCTGCTTGTGTTGAGCAGCACCAGTGGGTAGCTTTGACTTAGGCCAGAGCTTCCCATGTAGCTTTGAAAACCTGGGATGCTCACAGCTGGGATGCGTGAAGCCAGAATGCTGTTGGCTGGGCAGGCACTTTAGGTTTCCTTAGGAAAGGTATTTTGGTTTTGTTTCTACTTTGGCAGCAAGGGAGACACTTCAAGCCTGGGGTGAGAGTGCCTGTGAGGGCCGGCAGCGTGCCTGGACCGAGCCCTGGGATGGAGGGAGATGCTGGGAGCAGATGATCCTTCAGTGCCCTGCATCCTAGGGAGCTATGCTTGCCCGGTGGTATCTCCTCTCCCTTGAGTCCTGGTTAGCCCCGCAGCTAATGCTGCTGCTGCCTCCCTCGTGCGGGGGTGTCAGGTTGGGGGTGGTGGGGCCGGGCGATCAGCCTGACGCCATGTGTCGGAGGCGGCATGGCACGGAGGGTATTTCCAGTGACGTGGGTTGGACAGATGGTGCCCTTCTCCAGCCTGGAGTGACATGTGCCCTCCCGACCAGCAGGCTCCATCCTTGTAATTTCCTCTTCACAGGGCTCCCGGCCGGGCTTTTGTGCCGCTCTCCCCGTGCGCAGCAGGGCAGTGCTGCATTCAGTGCCTGCCCTAGATAACCATCGCCCTGCCTGTGCATCAGCGCTCTGCTGCGCCTGGAGGGCGAGCTGCCTTGAAAATAGAAGTGCCTCCAACAAGACTGTGTGTGGCTTTGGCAGAAACCCTCTCCCTGGGCGGTGGGTTACCTTCCTCTGGGATTTCTGTGTCTAACAAATGGCAGGGTCCAGTGGGCAGCAGGGATGGGACCAAGCAGCGATGTGGCATCCTGCGTGCAATGAGCCAGGACCATTTTGGATGTGGAAGGGATGGGCAAGAGGTGACAAGGAGATGGGCGTCTTTGCAGGCGGCATGCTGACCTGCTGCCTTTCCTCTGCTGCCAGTACTTTCTGGCCTGTGTGGTCATGGTACAAGCCTGACTTCAAAATTAATGACGGGGAATGCTTTCCTCGCAGGCTTCAGAAAGGGGCTCAAAGTTCCTGCAAATTAAGATCCTGCCAGAATGAGGGCAAGAAGAGCTGGACAGGCTTGGGGGAAGTTGTGACGGAGGTGTGTTTTCCTGTGCAGGGCTGCAGAGGCTTGCTGGTGCTTCCTATCTGGCTCGCCCTGGGAGGGGGCTTTCATAGGATCACAGAGTGGTTTGGGTTGGAAGGGACCTTCAAAGGTGATCCAGTCCAAGCCCTCTGGCAGGGGCAGGGACATCTGCCACTAGATCAGGTTGCTCAAAGCCCCGTCCAACCTGACCTTGAACATTTCCAAGGATGGAGCATCCATAGCTTCTCTGGGCAACCTGTGCCAGTGTCTCACCACCCTCATGGTACAACATTTCTTCCTTATGTCCAGCCTAACCCTACCCTTGTTCAGTTTAAAACCATTGTCTTGTGCTGGGGACCCCAGAGCTGGGTGCTCCAGGTGTCTTGTGCTGGGGACCCCAGAGCTGGACGCAGTGCTCCAGGGGGGTCTCAGGAGAGCAGAGCAGAGGGGGAACATCCCCTCCCTCGACCTGCTGGCCACGCAGCTGGTGATGCAGCCCAGGAGACGCTTGGCTTTCTGGGAAGCGCACATTGCCAGCTGATGTCCCATTTGTAACCCACCAGTATCCCCCAGCCCCTCTCTGCAGGGCTGCTCTCAGCTCCCTTTCCTTTGACCCTTTCCTGTGGATGGCCATCCTGTTGGGTGCGTGGTGAGGTGGCACGGGGCTGCAGGCAGGACACGTATCCCCTGGACGAGCTGCTCTGCATGCAGAGCCTCGTGGGCCATCTGCCCCCAGCCTGGGCTACAGTGCTAGCCCTCACCCCCTGCACAGCCCCTGTGCTGTGGGGTAGACCTCCGGTCAGGACGTTGTGGTGGGCTGCATGCCGTGAGATGCAGGGATGAGCCAGTCTGTCTGTGGCGGGTGCTGGGACTGGGTCGGGTAGTGGGCTGCTGCCTGAGGAAAAGCTTTGTGGCCCAGAGCTGGAGTCAGCAGAACTGGAAGGACCACAGAAAAAGTAGTGGTGCGGCGGGTGTAGGAGGTAGCAAGAGGTGCTCATCCTCAGGTTGATCTCGCCCAGCTCCATCGAAATTTAAATGCACTGACCCGTTCCCGGGCTGGTGGCTCCCGCCATGCCCCAGCCTCACTGTGCTGGCAGCTCCTGCCTGCTGAGCCCTGGCTTGGGGGCCCAGCTGTGGCCAAAATGGACAACTCCTGAATTCCTGGCTTCAGGGAACATTTCTTCTTTGTGCCCACAGAGTGGTGGGTCAGGGCAGCAACATGCCTGCTTTTCCTTGTCAGGGTGAGATTTTCACTTGAATCATGGTAGCTCTCAAATCTCAAGGTCTTTGGATAAGCCATTCATGAAGCTGTTACCAAAGCAAACGGTGCCACGAATGGTGGCAAGGCTGAAAGCTGAGGTCTCCTCTGGGTGACTCCACCCAAATCAGTCACCCTAGGTTGAAAAGACAATTTTAGGGGGAAGGATAGGTATTTCATCTGACTTATTTCAAGGTAAGAGGCATCTCTGTGGAGACTGTATTGGCTAGCTGTGCAAAGTGCGAAGGGGCCACGGGGTGACATGTAATCATCTGCAAAATGTGGGACAATTATGACATGAGCAGAGACAGTCCTCTCTCTTAAATCTTCTCCATTCCACTGGCTCCTTCTCTCTAGTGAAGATGGAGTAAAAAGAAACTTTGCCACCCCATTAATTTTTCATTTTCCTCCATCATGTATCTGCTTTGGATAATAATATTTTAAATGTCTCCTTACACAGAGGACTGTAATTTTTCTTTCCCCTGCGAGCTCGCATCCCCTGCCTCGCTGGGACAGGAGGTGTTTTCATCTCTGGTGACAATGACACACACGCTGCTGCACACAAGGACAACCCCTCATTTGCCTGCTCTGGCTTTACTAGTTCTGTTGTACTTTCTGTTCTCTCCCACCTTTCCTGCGCTCCGTGGCACCCCTTTTATTTTCCCATCGCAGCATCCCTCATGTTTTCCCCTTGCAGCATCCCTTGTGTTTCCCATCACTGCTGTTTGCAGAGCTGTTGTGCTCACGCACAGCTGAGGATAGCTCATAAAGTTTCCCCCTCCAGCTCTCTGTAAATACATAAGTATTGTTAGTCTTGTTCTGCGCTTGCCACGGGAGGCCGTGCAGCGTGGCAGCTGGCTGTGGTGGCGTTTTGTGTCGTGCCTTTATTGCTGGAGCTGGCCGTCCTCTGCTCTCTTGTGCACAGTGCTCTGGTGTGGCAGCATCCGGGGCATCCCACGCTCTGGCTGGCATTTACCCCAGCTCCTGGGAACAAGTGAGCAAAGGAGAAGGGGAGGATGCCCCTGAGGAGCTCCTGAAATGGAGACGCAAACTTCGCAGGAAGCACTTCTTGATGCCTCTCTCCATGTTGTTGCAGGCGAAGGACAGTGACGATGATGATGAAGTCACCGTCAGCGTGGACCGGGACCGCTTCATGGACGAGTTCTTTGAGCAGGTGAGAGGTTTGTTTCTCCACTGCAGCTTTAAAGCCAGTTCAGACCTTTCTGTTAGCGCTGGAGCAGGCTGTGGGGCTGTGGTATGGTCTCCCACCGCAGGCGGGGAGCAGCGGTCAGGGTGGGGATGGGGGTCCTGCCCTGGCTGATGCCGCTCAGCTGATGCTCGGGCTCCTCGGGGGTTACGCTCAGCGTGCTGATTAGTAGGAACCCGGCTTCTACGCAGACCTGGGGCTGTCGTGGGCTTACCTGGCCCTATGGATGCTTTGCTGCGCCACCTCCTCTTCCAGAAGCCAGTGGGGCAGCTGGGCCAGGTGACCAGCTGGGGGGAGTGGGTGAGCCTTGCAGCCTGCCTGCCTCCAGCCTGCCGCTAGAGCGGACCGGCTCTCAAACCTCTCCTGAAAGCACCTCTGCGGAGTAGCAGTTTCTGCATGGGATTGATTTAATTTTGTGCCGCTCGTTACCAAACAAGAGGTTGTCTTCTGGCATGTGGGTGGCTGTAAGATCTGCATGCGGATTTTTAGCACACCCTTAGCATGGCATGTGTGTAGGGGGTGTTAAAATGTATCTGTGCAGGCAATGGATTGTGGAATGAAAAAAATCTGACATGCAGATGGAGGAAGATGAGCAAAGTGGTGGTGCGAGTCGAAGGAGAAGACAGAGCTAGAGGGTGGGCAGGCCGGCAGGCAGAGGGCACAAGTAGAGGTTCCCCCTCTCGGCAATGCCGGTGTGTCTCCTTGTAGTACAGGAGTGCAGAGAAGATGCCAACATGGATTTGCTGGCAAATTTGGCCTCCCTGGGCTGTGGGGTGAGGGTGAAACTGAGCTTCTCAGCCCCTGGAGCAAAAAGCCATGGGGGACTGAGCTGGGACTGAGCCTGGCTTGTGCAACCTCAGCAACGTTCTCCATGCCAGAGGTGCAGAGTCTGGGAATCCGTAGATCTGATGCTAATTTAAATATACCCCAAATGTTTCTCAGTGCATCGCAAGGATACAGGACATAGAGTCTGTATTACATTGCTGTGACTGCAAAGCTGGCTGCTGTGATGTGGAAGGTCTGATTTCACGGTGGTCCTACAGTTCGAGGATCCAGCTGGAAAATATTCGTCCAGCAAGATGTTTGCTGTGATTCAGATGTGTCATGGTTGCTTTGGGATAGGGTTTAATAATCCCTCCCCTTTCCAAAAGTCCAGGCCTCTCACAGGAGACCTGTCTTCTTGTCCATCTCCACAGGTGGAAGAAATTCGAGGGTTCATCGATAAAATTTCGGAGAACGTGGAGGAAGTGAAGAGGAAGCACAGCGCCATTCTTGCTTCGCCCAACCCCGACGAGAGTGAGTGAGCCGTGATCTGCTTGCGTCCCCACGGGCACCTGGCTGCGCTGGGCTGGACCGTTTGTGGGGTGGACGGAGTCAGATAGAAGTCCTCTTCTCTTCAGGTGGCCATGGCTGGAAAGCCACAAGCTGTCGAGGTGGCTGATGGCCGGGGTGAGGGAGGGCTGGGACCTGCGTGGGTCCTGATGGCTTTCTGACCTTGAGAGGTGGTGAGGGTCCAGCGAGGCTGCCGGAGGGGAATTCCTGAAGGGTGGGGCAATGTGGAGGCTGAAAAGAGCAAATGGCTGTTTTTATGCTGGTTGGCCATTGTCTTGCCCTGGGCTGCCTGCGGAGGGTACGTGGATGAGGCAGCACTTGCAGAACAGGCTGAGCGTTGCCTGCTTGGCCCAGAAATGATGCAGCTCTTCTTTGAGCCCGCGGTGTGCACTTGTGACGCTGTCCTCTCTGTCCTGAAGGACATTTTGTTGCTGGCTCACCAAAGAGTCTGTCCCTTCCAGACCTTACTGATGTATCACTGTTTTCTTCCCCAGTCTTGTGTTCCTGAGAAGAGGTTTGTTGCCAGGAACAGAAGTTAAGGATAGCAGCACCCAAGAGGTGGCAACATTTGGGAGTCTGCAGGATCTGGCAGAGTTAGAGCTGTGGGTGATGAGTTCCCCTGTCCCCAGGTGCGAGCAGTGCATCTCCCAGAGGAGCCGGAGGAGCCGGCACTGGCCGAGCACCTGGGGGTGGTGGGGTCAGCTGGGCTTCCTTAGCACAGAGGCTTTCCAGCTTTGGTGTCTGCAAACCCCTCGTTGGGGAGCAGGTGGGACTGAGGTGCTGAACTGTGCAAGGGAGAGCGGGGTGAGCACAGCTGAGCAGAGCTGCTTATCGTTGGGGCTGGACCAGGGGTCCACAGGCTCACCCACTGAGGGACATCATTTGAATGTCTCTGCTGCCCCAAGCCCGTCCTTCAGTCTTGCCATGAGCCCATGTGGGCCATGTCCACCTCCCTCATGGTGCTGGTGGTCGCAGGGCTGATGGTTGCTGCAGGGATGACCGTGCAGGATGGCTCCGAGCTGCTGGCAGCCCTTGTCATTGGCAAAAGTGTAGCTTTCATGAGGCAGTGGGCGGCTGCTGAGGAGCTGAATGCTGCTTGTGCCCTCCTGGCTGCAGTGGCCCTGGCACAAAGGTGAGATTGGGGGCTGGAAAGCTGAGACCAGGTCTCTGTCTTGCCATCCACCTTCCTCCCATCCAGTTCTCTTCATTTGCCCAGTGCAATTCCATGTCTGCTTGTCTCCAACTGTGAATTGTTTCTAGAGGTCCCAGGAGGTTGTCTGTACACACAATTTCTTGTGTCCAGCCCTATGTCAAACCAATAGATATTGCTAATTGCTTGGAAGAACCTCATCCTTCCTAAATTGTCTCACACTCCCCTCTCCTGGCAGCTGCTCTTCAGCTAAAATTCACTTGGCCAAGGCTGGAAGCAAGAGATTTTCTCAAGGGAATTCATGTGTCTCAGACTGTTGTTCAATCATCCTCCAGGCCCTTTTGGTCTGCACTTGCACTGTAAGATTTTGCAGTGTTTCTGTTTGGGTGTTTTCAGGGAAGAGCTGTCGTTGCTTTGCTTCTGGCTGCTGGGCTCATACGGCATGCGTCGGCACGGCGTCCGCTCGGGGCAGAGCCAGAGTTTGGGCTGCAAAGGGCACTTGTGGCCTAAAAGAATAATAATCTATTTAAAAGTCTGAGATCTGCAGCGAACAAGATACTGTGACATTGACGTGACTTCCAGAAGCATCCAGGACGTTGGGAGTGCTGGTTTTGTTTTACAGTGTTACTTGCCTTGGTATTGTAGAAAATTCAGTTGATAATGCCAAAAACTGTTTGGGCAGTGAAAGAAGAGCCCCCACCTTGTTTAGAAATTAGTGTTTTATAATATTGTGGTGTGTCCAGGAGGTGCAGTGGGGCTGATTAGATGCTCAATGGTAGATAGACTCACAGACTCACAGAGTGGTTTGGGTTGGAAGGGACCTTCAAAGGTCATCCAGTCCAAGCCCCCTGCCAGGGGCAGGGACATCTGCCACTAGATCAGGTTGCCCAAAGCCCCGTCCAACCTGACCTTGAACACTTCCAGGGATGGAGCATCCAGCTTCTCTGGGCAACCTGTGCCAGCGTCTCACCACCCTCATCGTAAAACATTTCTTCCCTCATCGTAAAACATTTCTTCCTTATGTCCGGGCTAACCCCACCCTCGTTCAGTTTAAAACCGTTGCCCCTTGTCCTGTCGCTGCAGGCCCTGGTCAAAAGTCTCTCTCCCTCTTTCCTATGAGCCCCCTTTAAGTGCTGAGCGGCCGCAGTAAGGTCTCCCCAGAGCCTTCTCTTCTCCAGGCTGCACAACCCCAACTCTCTCAGCCTTTCTCCATAGCAGAGGTGTCCCAGCCCTCGGACCATTTTGGTGGCCTCCTCTGGACCCGCTGTACCAGGTCCATGTCTGTCTTGTGCTGGGGACCCCAGAGCTGGACGCAGTGCTGCAGGGGGGGTCTCAGGAGAGCGGAGCAGAGTGGGAGCATCCCCTCCCTCGACCTGCTGGCCACACTGTTGGTGATGCAGGCCAGGAGACGCTTGGCTTTCTGGGCTGCAAGCCCACATTGTTGGCTCATGTCCCATTTGTCACCCACCAGTATCCCCCAGTCCTTCTGGGGGGGACAGGGTGCTCTCCATCCGTCCATCCATCCATCCATCCCCCGGTCTGTGCTGGTACTGGGGATTGCCCTGACCCAGGTGCAGGACCTTGCACTTGGCCTGGTTGAACTTCATGAAGTTCACACTGACCCACTCCTCACAGATGCATCACCACAAATCAGCAAGAACTACTTCACCATGACTGACCCCTCCCAGCTGGGTGGACGCTGAGTGTTGTCTCAGACCAGCCTCCAGCTTCCCCAGGCTGCTGTGTACCGGGGTTGCTGGTGGTGTGGTGTCAGCTGAGCCATGTTCCTAGGGCAGCACCCATGTGCCAGAATCACTGGAGCAGGACGTGCACCCCGTTGAGCGCTGCTCCTTTCTGTCCCATGGTACCTGGGGGTGGGGTGTTGAAATGGTCCTCGGTGTCCTCAGGACAGGAGACAACCTTGGACATAGCTGCAGGGGTCTGCTTAGATGATCTAGAGAGGCATTAAACTCATGTGGCCTTGTACTGGCAAGCCATGTGCTGTCTCATGGGACCGTGGGTCAGCTCTTGGGATAACTCAGGGTTGGACTAGATGATCTTTAAAGGTCCCTTCCACCCCAAACCATTCTGTGATAACTGATGATGTACTGCTCATAGCTTTTCCATTTCCCAGCGACTCAGCCAGACCGAGAGCAGCATTGCTCCATGTCCGTCTGCTCCTTCAACCCCTGGTGAGACGCATGAATGTGGCAGAAGTTCAACCAAAGGCGGGATTAACCTCCATGTTAGCCTTGGCTGGAGCTCAGTCCTGTGCTTCGGTGGGGTGGAGGCAGTGCAGGGCCCCATGGCGGTGAAGGCAGTGCAGCGGGGAACAGCGGGTGCCGGTGTGGTGCCGGGCTGCCCCCCCCCCCCAGCCTCCCCGTGCTCCTGAGCCCCCAGAGAACCTGGTAATAAATGCAAAGGCTTGTTGTAATCCAGGGAAGTGAATTTATTGAGATTAATTTGGAAATTAAGAAGCAAGGTTTCCATGAGGCATGAGAGGGGGATGCAGCCAAGGGGCACTGAAACGTAGGCGGTGAAAGGCCTTGGTGTGCGCTCACTGGTGTTTGCTTTTTAACATGGCAAATGAATGACACCTGTGATGACAATCAAGCCAAGATGTTGCTCTTCGCAGGGGCCAAATTCGCTGGGGGTTTGGGGTGCTGCTTGTCCCCTCTGGAACAGCACCTCAGTTATTTCTTAGTGATCTCTAAGCACTTTAGCATCATATGAAACCTCTGCTACAAAGGTGATGGGAAGTCATCCTCCAGGGTATCAGAAGAAAGACACAGACTTCTCATTCTCGTCTGGAGGCAAACGTGCTGTGCGTGGTGCAGCTCGGTTTGGTGTGTGGTGCTGCTCCTCCGTCAAGAGATTCAAACTCCTTAAACACCTCCTAGAGCTGGAGGACCTTGGAGTGGGGCTTCAGAAGATCAGGACAGAGCTGGGCTGGTAATTTGGAAAACGGATGAACAGTGGTTGGACCTGCTGTTGGAGCACTGAGTGGAGGGAGGGATGGATAGATGTACAGTGTCTGCTGGCTGAATCGCTTGCTGCTTTTTCAGGGTCTCTTGATAGACGAGGGAGACTCCACAGGTACAATCCTACTGGAACCTGTGTCTTAAATGACCGTGTGCTTAGGCAGATGCAAGCCCTTGGTGCTCTCCTGCACGTGCTCTGCTGTTGCAAAAGAAGGTGAGGTCCAGGTGTCTGTGTGAGACCTGGATTTACCCACCTGCTCGGCGCGGGGCGGAGGTGCTGGGCTGGATCCGTGTTGCACAGAAGGGCTCATCCTTCCCCTCCCCTCCCTTCCTGCTGATCCCTCTTCTGGCTGCACAGACTGTTCTCGGATCTGTGTTGCCGCTGCTGTCTGGGCTTATTTTGGCGCCCGGTGGGTGAGCAGCTGGCTGGCTTTGCCATCATGCCGGCAAGGTGGCAGCCCCCCGCCTGCCTGCCTGCGCCTTGCAGCTCCGGCGGGCTCGCGCCTGGTAGTGGGGGGGTTGCGGAGGGTCTCCCCACTGAGCAGCTCCGTGCCGCGGGGTGGGCAGCATCATGTCAGGGCTTGAGTGGGCTCAGAGCGGCTGAGGGGCTGTATTCCTCCTCGGGTCAGAGCCGTTGCTGCTGCTACTCCTGATTTGAGTAACAGCTCCTGGTAAACCTGTTCCTAAAATCCTTCCTGGTGAGCTGCTGCATTTGTTGTCACTCCTGGCACGTGAAGCAGGCTGTTCGTCCTCGGTCCTTGGTCTGGGCCGTCTCTCAGAGGAGGTGGCTTTGAGTGGCAAGTTGCCAACTGGAGAGGAATGAAAGGTTGTGG